ACGCCACAGTGCTATCTCTGTCTATTCTTAGGCTGTCACTTCAGCTCATCTGAGCAGGCAAGTGCTCTTCTTTCTCCTCTCTCAGCTCCTTCTTCTTTTGTCCTCTCCCTCTTTCCTGGTTTGTGCATTTGGCAGAATTTTAATGTCTAGGTCGTTTCCTTGTCTTACACCTGCCTGACTTCCGATACTCTGTCTCCTTTCAGAGGCTGCTCGCCATAGGCCCTCACTCCCGTTCTTCCAGCTGCTCTGGGGTTTTTCATACATTTGGCTTAACCACCGCTGTCCATTTCTGAGGATCTTTCATTTGCCTGAAAGAATGAGTGCCTACACTGTGACGCTGCCCGGCCTCGGCCCCTGGGGCTTCAGGCTGCAGGGGGGGAAGGACTTCAACATGCCCCTGACCATCTCCAAGGTAAGAAACTGAAGGGAAACAGCTTCAGTTTGGGATTTTCTGTGTATGAGTCTCTTCTCTGCTGCTGAGAAGCCTACAGACAATCTTTTGCATCTTTAATGAATTTACTATCAGTTCAGTTCACATTACGTTTGGGACTTTCTGTAATGTGTTAGACTTCCTGATGTCTTCAACGGTGCAAAATCTGTTTTATCAAGTTGTGTCTGTTCATAGAAATCTGCTCAGAAACTCCTGGTGTAGTAGCACCACCTGGTTTTATCAGAAACAAATGCATTTCAAGAGTTTTCTAAAAATTCCTGCCTCTAGTCTCTGTGTGTATCTGGTGGCCGACGGGTTTAGACACCGTACAGCCATAGTGGTCCCAGCTGGGGACCTTTGTTGCACGTCTCTCCTCCCCTCACTTCATTTCCTGTCAGTCTCAAAATGCTTTGCATGAGATGAGGAAAATGCAGAAGAAAAACACTTGAAACCACAATAAAAATGAAAATTGAATCAACTGAAATTAAACCAAAGTCAATGGTTGTTTTATAATCGTACCTTGACTTTAGAAAATACTCAACAGCAGATTTAGAAAGTTTATCAAGTTAAAGTATTTTGACTCTACTAGCAGATTTGTTCACTTGTTTTATTTCAAGGACTCAGTTAAATGACTTGAGAAGAAGGCAGGTTTTTTCATTTGAAAATCAACTTGCAGAAACATTCCTTCTATTTCTGTGAAAGTTAAATTATTTCAGCAGTGGGGGGGCTACATCTCTGCAGGTTTACTGAGGTCAGTGTAAACCAATGGCCCCCCCAGAAAGAGAGAGACAACGTCTGAGCGGCGGTAAAGCCGTCCCTCTGGTTTGTGTTCTGTACCTTGTGTCTCGCTTCATGTCAGCGGATCATTTTCAGACTGTTTCTGTTATATGAGGATGGTTTTGTGATTATAGGCTGCCATTCTGAAGCACATGTGGAGCCTGCGTGGGTGAGATCTATGGCCCCTGGCATCCCCCCAGTGCCCCGCAGGGTGTGACGGCTGCCAGGATTTGTCAGGGAGGTGGAAAGCAGAGCCGCAGGCCTAAAACTGGAGCTGGTGTTGGTTTCACAGCCTCTGAATAGACACACAGGGACAGACCTCTCCTCTCTGCTCTGCTTTATCGTCCACAGTCCTTCTGGGCTCACAGGAGAATTTGACGCATCTGTTATCAGGATGCTGTGATCCTTGACCTTTGACCTTCTCAAGTTGGCTTGTTGGTGATTTTAGGCTTTGAGTCTCATTCTGCTATAGCTTCAGGGCACCAAGGAATTTATTTTCTGATTCTTTGCCTTTTCATAAAACATGTACTGTGTCAGGACCTGGCCCTGCAGGCATGTGACCTGCTGCCATCTTAGTGAAATAAGTGACACTCTCTGACCAGTCTGGGCGGTTATTTGTACAGGTTGCCACATTGCTGGTGCACTGCGATGTAGTTGATTTAATTTATTTATGTGCAGTAGATATATTTGTTACGTTCACAAATTTTAAGTTGAAAAAACAAGTTAAATGTTACAGTGTAGTTGAGCTCAGCTAGAGAGTTTTGGCTGAAGTGACACAATGATGTTCAGCAGCTGTTCACACAGTCACGGCAGGAACAGCTGACAAGGGTCTTCCTCTCTGTTCTTGCTGTCTTTTTTGTCTCTTTCTGTGGTGCATGATATCATCGTGTGGCCGTTTTGGAAGACAAGCTTCAGCTGTTCACAGTGTGTCAGGTTTTACTGATCATCAAACGTCACATGAACAGACCAGGAGAACATCAGCTCTGTGAACTGAGTGTGAAAAATGTGGAAGATTTGTGGTAACAATTTATTTTACGCACCCACTATTTCTACTAACTTCTTGAACATTTCCTGGAATTTTATTTTGGCGATTTAACTACTTGACTAGATAAAAGATGGACGAAGCCTTAGTGACGCCACCCGTTGGTTTTCTGTAGAGTGGTTGTGAAGCTCGAGTGTGGCCGTCGCCATATTGGTGGTGCTTCACTCTGCCTGCTAGGTCTAATCCAAAAATGGGCAAAGGGGCGTGGTGTGAGCGGAGCTCCCCTGACAGGTAGCGGCCAGCCACCTGTGGTGGGGCCAAGCTCCAACCTCCGAGGCTGAAAAAGGAAGCCAATGCTGCAGTTCCAAAACCTGCAGTTCCTTGAGCAGCCACTAGAGGTTGGCTCCAGACGGGAGTTAGTCCCCGTAGACTAGACTCCTGTGTTAAAATGCCCTGCTTTACAG